AGGATGCATTGTTATATGAGATATATTCACCATATTACGTCTAAGATGATAAGGGTCCTTACAAATCTTTCGAATTTCGCATTGCTTTCCCGAAAGTGATTCTCATCTCCAGTGGGACTATAACCATGATAGTGCATCATATAATCTAGATGGGTTAACCATTACGTCACATTGCAACGAGGACCCTTTGGTCACACGGAAGATATGAATTTCAAGGAATGTCATGCACTTTTCCGTATCACATTTTGTGGAGCAATTTTGTATTTATCTTAGTAATCGACTGTATTACTACATTCAATGTAATCTTAAGGTTACTCATATCATTGTGAGAAAAGTCAAATACCAGTGCCCTTATCACCTTAAAGGAAATAGCGTGAATACATCTCATATACATGACGCTCCGATTTTCAGCCCATACTAAGGTAAGAAAAGCAACTTGAATGCATAAACTTTTAATAAAATTCTATTATGTGTAAAAAATGCCCATAATAAGTAATTGTTCATAAGTTATGTGAAGCTCTTTTGAAGGTGTAAAATGTAAAATATATGGTATATGGTATATAGGCATTTATACATATGGAGAATAGGGCAGAGATTTACGAAAGAGGGGCGGCATGTTGGATTCAAGCTGGAGAATGGCGTTTTTGTCAGTTTATATCTCGTATATATATATATACACACACACACACACACTAAAGCACAGTTTATAGTGTCGAGGTTTAAAGGCTGGCGATGTCTCCGACGATGGCTGCAATGCTCATCGCAAGTGGTGCATGGCCTCTGGGTCGGACAAGATCGCAGTGTTCTCGTGATTTGCACCACCGGTCGACCTGTTGGCTCGCCTCTCCGGCGGTATGTGACTGCTTATGTTCGGCCACTTCTTCGACCTCTTCTAGGCGATAGTGCTCGTCCCAATTTTCTACCAATTGAGCCGGTGGGCTTCCCGATGTTTCGTAAGAGTCGGCCGCATGTGAATTGGGGGAACCATTTTGCGGTTCGCAGAACCGATCAGACTCGGGTGACGGCTTGCCTGGCCTCGGCAGGCCTCGGACTCTGCTCTGTCGGCGCGAATGGCTCTTCCTGTACTGCTTTCTCAGCGCCCTCTCTTCTTCCTCCTGCTCATCTTCCTGCTCATCCTCTTCTCCATTCTCTTCCTCTTCGAGGTCGTCACATCCCTTGAAGTTTAGAGCCCCAGCAGCCTCAAAAACGTCCTTACTCT